ACACGCTAAAGCTCAAAGAATCCAAGGATAACAGTTTCACGATTTGGAGTTTTTTTCATAATCGCATACTTTGATTCATGCATCATTAACATGATTTTTTGTTTGTGTTGTGTTGTTAGAGACCACAGGAAGTTATTGGCATAGATTAATTGCATTAAAACGCGCATAATTGAGAATGGCCATGGATGAATTTTAGGGTTCATGAACTTTGGATTTGGGGCTTTCTAAACCCAGAAAAATTAAGCCTGGTGAGATACATGGTTAGACTCATGAGGACAAGACGAACGCATTGGATGTGTCGTGAAACATTTATGTTAATCACACGCCTATTCGCTATTTTTCGTTGATACAGGTTGTGGGGTTAAAAACCCCCGCTATCTAACATAGATTTTACAGGTTCAGCGAAGAAGATGAGTATGTGGTGCTACGCCATTGGACGATTCAAAAGGAGCGCGCGTTTTTATGTTTGTGTACAACATATTTACTTATTTCATATATTATATTTACTCATTATTATAATTACAAACGCAGGCAAGTGGCTCAGTGGATGGTGTGCTGGCTGTGTATCATTGGGACCTGGGTTCGATTCCCAGGTCCACCCAATATTTGTTCATATTTTTCATAACCTAATTATATGCAGGCTTCCCAGGGAATTCTACCATGCGCTGCAAATATCCAAGCGCCATGTGTCCTTAAGCATTAATCTGAAGGTCATGAGTGGATGACCATGATGCTCCTGGTCAACCCTGTGCATAGACAAGCAAGAAGGTCAAACGGACTGGCCAACAAATGGGCCAGAAATTGCTATCAATACCTCCATCTGGGCCCAACACCCCCAGGGTTTTGTTTCTCATTTTTTTTCTCTTTTATATTTTTTCATTTAATCTTTTTAGTAATTATTATTATTATTATTTAATTACCTCACAAATTATATTTTCACAATAAATTCAGACAATTAAAATGTAAATATTTTTATTTATATTATTATTTATTAATTTCACCTTAGTTTATTTTTTGTAAATAAATTCTAGATATAATTAATTTAGTAAATTAGGTTAACTTTAATCTTTTTCTCAATAAATAAAATCAATCTAGAATTAGGGTTTTTCTTTTGACAATTTTAATCCTTTTTATTTTATTTTCATCAAAACATTAAAAAACTAAAAAAATACTTTTTTTCTTGTAATTATTTAATTAATTAGAATTAGGTTTAATTAATTGTAAAAAGGACAAAATTCCATTCTTTTCTCAAAAAAGGTCAAAACCCTAAGACATATTTAGGAATTACATATATTCCGGATGGTGGTACCTGCCTTATACCTATGAGTGCAGACATCTTTGGTTTTGAATATCTTGAAGCAATTGGTAGAGAGGATATGGAGCAAGTTTTTAGGCATTTGAAATTAGGCCTCGGTGTTATCGGTATATACATCAGGTATACTCCGATCAACTTTGTTTAATTAAATGAACAATTTAATCCCTCATTTCAGTGAATATAGTATAATGTTAATGATGTTTTAATTTAAGGTTTATGTATGACAATATTGTGCGCCCGTGTGGATTAGAAGCAAGATTTGGCTTCTTACCCAACACTATTAATTCAGGGTTAATTGTAACGAGACCGGATGATATCATAGCATATGTACTAGGTTTATTCGTGGCCAGTAAAGATACTAAGAAGTTGTTCTTTTTGCTATATATACTGGCAACGGGTTAGATTTTCATCCTAACTTGATCTATTATAATTTTCCATTTTTGGCCATTGTTTAATCTTTGTTTAATCTTACAGTGGACACTGGTTATTGGTTGCGATTAATCCTATGAGAGAAACTGTGTATTATCTGGACTCGTTATACAATGATTTGTCAACATATCCAGATTTGAAACAGATGATTGACACGTAAGTGTTTCGCTCCCAAAGAGATATTCAAGTTTATGTTTATGTTTATGTTTATGTTTATGGCCAACATATATGGATTTGTGTTTATGTTTATGTTTCTATGTGAGATTGTCCTAAACAGTCGTTTATATTTTATTATAGTGTTCTACTTGCTTTTCGCTCCCAAAGAGATATTCAAGTACCAAAAAGTAGAGCCAACAATGTTACATGGATCAGAGTGGAGGTATATTTTCATAAAGAGATATTCAGTTTTGATTACATTAGTGATGATACTTGATAAAACAATTCAAGGGGTATATCCTGATATATATTCATATTTTCTTTCCATGTGTAGTGTCCTCGCCAGCGTAACGGTATAGATTGTGGCTATTTTATGTTGAGGTTTATGAAAGAAACTATTCTTTTGGATCGATTAGAGATTCCATCCACGATATGGATTTCTAACTTAGGAATTACATACTATTTTCATATTTTGTGTTTCTCATAAAATGACATATTATTTTAACTAAATCACATACTATGTTATATTATTATATATGTAGTACTTTGAGGAATTCAATTGTGCATATTACTCAAAAGATCAATTGGATGAACTTATGGAGGAATGATGTCAATTCATTATCGGGTTGAGAATTTTATAAGCTAAGGTATATTGTCTTATTTCCTTTGATGAAAACTTTCGAGTTTTGAGTATAAATTAAATTCGAATAAAGTACAACGTTAATATTATCATGTTATGAATTTCGATCATTTGGTTTTTTTCCAGGTTTATAGGTACATGTGTAGAAGATAGAGCTAAAATATTCATGTTGTTGTTGTTTCATGAGAATTCTCGAAGATAGAAAGATGTATAGATGTCACTTCAATTTTGAATTTTAGGCATTTTAACTTGTAGAATTTTAACTTGTATCATAAATTTTGTAATTGTTGTTGTATATATCATCAATTTATATATATGTATAATTTTTATATATGTATATTTTATTGGAATGAAGCTACCAAATATGGTGAAAACCTGGATCAAATATGGTTAAAATTCTGATTAAAATGCATTATATATATTGGACAACGCTTTTGTAAGTCAAAATAGATAATTTATTAAAAAAATCGTGAACAATAGACAATGCTTTAGGAGAAAAACGCTGTAAAAACTTTAAAAAAATGCTGCCTAAAGTGTGAAAGCGCTGCCTAAAGTGGGGGAATAGACAGTGCTTTCAAAGGAAAACGCTGTCTAAAGCCTAACTTAAAAAAATAACAAAGCGTTGTCTAAAGTAAAAGCGCTGCTAAAGGGGTATATAAAAAAACGCTGTCTATTCTAAAAGCGCTGTCTAAAGTTGGCATAAGACAGCGCTGTTAAAAGCCTAAAAAAGCGTTGTCTTTTCCCCTTTTTGTAGTAGTGTTAGGTCAAGTTCTAATATAGTACTAGAGTCTATTGACCGGATCATGGGGCATCCACTGTTTATATCCACACACCAAAGTCAAAGAATATTGTATGTGAGAAAGTGTGTTAGAAAGTGTTTATATCCACACATCAAATCTAAAAAATGTTGTGCGTGAAAGAGTGTGTTAAGAAGATCGTAAAATCTCATATTAATTGACAATAGAGTATTGTATGCGAGGGAGTATGTTAGAAAAATTCTAAAATTCCATATTAATTGATAACATCTTATAAATTGGATTTATAAAGATATGAGTTGGGTTAAACTCTAATAATATATAAGTCTATTATAAAATTTTATAATTAAAATTATAAGTTAAAAAACGAAGATATCATATATATTTTTAAAAAAAAAAATGAGAGAAAAATAACAATGATTTAAATTTAAAATAAGAGAACAATTTTATAAATGAAATAAAATTGAAGAAGAAAAATATAAATTAAATTATAAGAATTAGGATTGGTTGAACATGAAGCACAACCCAAATGAGTGGCATGAAGAGCTTAAGTGGATAATTAGCAAAGGTTGGAAAGCAAACCTTCTCAAATATGTTACTGCTGAAGCACTTAGCTTTATGCAATATGGAGATATAGAAATGAAACGATATATGGAGGGAAAGCAAACCTTCTATTGTAATTTTCTATTTACAACCTCTCTCTCTCTTCAGAGGTAATTTAACATCTCTCATGTACTTTTTTCTTTAGAACATTTCTTGACAACTTCTATTAAAACAAAAAGACATTTAACATAATAATGATTAAACTTATTTTTCAGAAAATAAATATAAATTTTTAAAAGAAAAACATTTTTTCACACAACATTATCTCTTGTATACATTTCTTGTCCAAAACAAAATCTTTGATTACATTCATTAAATTCACTCCATCATAGATAACAACATTATCCCGCAAGTCACTCCATCACTCATTCTCATTAAACAAGCATCTAACTTCAATTTTGCTTCTCTCACAAAATTCCAAATCTCTGTCTCTAACAAAATAAAGTATATTTGTGTGGCAAATAAGTATTTTCACAACCATTAGCACACAACAAAAACTAATAACACTTGATAATATCATATATATATATATATATATATATATATATATATATATATATATATATATATATATATATATATATATATATATATATATATATATATATATATATATATATATATATATATATATATACACACTAACACTACGGTCTATATTAGGATAGAACATCACATGTCTTAGATCTATGTATGTGACATTGCATTCACATTCTAACGTGTAGGCTCGAACTCTTCCAAATTTCCTCTCACACTAAGTATATTGCCAACTCCTCATCTTTGCATCTATTCCTTGCTTCACTCTCCTTGTCCATTTCTTGTTCAATAATTGAAAAAAATATACCTTTTTGCCACCTCATAACTAAATCCCCACCATCTTCAATTTCACACCACATCACAAAGTTCCCTTCAACATGTTCCTCCTTGTCCTATTTCAATTTCAAAATTTTATTACTTTTCATTAAAGTTAGCACCTTTCAGTCTATCTCATGAGACCCAGATCCTAGTTTTCATTATCTTATAACCCCATCATCTCAAAATCTCATTTTTCACTATCTCAACACAAAAAGGTTAGATTTTTAAGATAAAGAAAACTACCCTCATGCTGATATTAGTTCTAGGAATAACTTCAGCTACTTTGCTAGTGATTGTTGCTATTTTTGGCTTTTGTTACTTGCAAAGATCATCAAAACATGAGATTAAAGACATAGAAAGCTTAGAAGAAAAGCATCAAGAGGTGAAGGAGGATTTAATCATATTTCAAGGTGGAGAAGATTTGACAATATGTGATATATTGGATGCACCAGGGGAAGTGATTGGAAAATCTAATTATGGAACACTTTATAAGGCTTTGTTGCAAAGGAGCAACAAAGTTAGGTTATTGAGGTTTTTGAGACCTGTTTGTACTACAACAGGTGAAGAATTTGATGAAATGATTCTGTTTCTTGGAAGATTAAAGCATCCTAATTTGGTTCCCCTTTTGGGATTTTATACTGGACCAAGAGGTGAGAAGCTTCTTGTTCATCCATTTTACAGGCATGGGAATCTTACTCAGTTCATAAGAGGTAATTATTCACTTACCTAGCTCTTCTTTTAATTTATTTTTTCTGTTTACTAGGAAATTTGGGTGTTTTTTCTGTTTATTTTGAATTTAATCAATGTTATTCAATTTCAAAGATCAAGAATATGAGGAATTAGATTGATACAATTCTACAATTTCAAGTATCAATTTGGATATTTACTCTTTGAATTTGATTTTATGTCACATTTATTGATCAAAGATCTTTACTAATTTATCAGATGGAAATGGAGAGAGTTACAAATGGACAAACATATATAAAATATCAATTGGTATAGCAAAAGGATTGGAACATCTTCACACATCACAAGAAAAACCAATTATCCATGGAAACCTAAAATCGAAAAACATCCTTTTAGACAGTTCCTATCAACCACACATCTCAGATTCAGGTCTCCATCTTCTGTTGAATCCAACTGCTGCACAAGAAATGCTTGAAAGTTCGTCTGCTCAAGGCTATAAAGCTCCTGAACTAATCAAAATGAAGGATGCTAGTGAAGAAACCGATATCTATAGCCTCGGCGTAATCTTGCTTGAATTGCTTTCAGGAAAGGAACCTATCAATGATCATCCAACTCCCGATGAGGATTTCTATTTGCCGAATTTCATGAGAAATGCTGTTCTTGGACATAGAATGTCTGATTTATATCATCCGGCTATTCTTCTCAGAAACGGCGTAGATGATGAAATTCAAGTTACGGAAGAATGTGTTCTCAAATTTTTTCAACTTGCTATGGCTTGTTGTTCACCTTCACCTTCAATTAGACCTAACATTAAGCAAGTTATTAGGAAGCTTGAAGAAATTATACACTAGAACAAGATATATGGGGGCTTATATGGTGACATTCGACACTTTTCTTCGAATTCATATATGAGAAGTTTGAGGGAGAAAATGTAAGTGTAATGCTTACAAAATGTGAAATTTGAAATCAACAAAGACTTCAGGAATTACAAGTGGTTGGTGCGCGGTGTGTGTATTGTAAACTCCGATATGCCGAGTTCGATCCTAATCATCAAAAAAAGTGACTTGTGAACCGTTGATGTTGATGTTAAGTATTAAAGTCAATTGAGGAATTATAATACGAAACTAATGCATTCTTTTTCTAGATCTAAAACTTTGGTTAATGACTTTAATTTTAAGATTGTTTGGTAAAATGAGGGAATATTTTTGTGATGCGCCCATCTGAGTACTATTCTCGCGGTACTTTGCGCAACTGCAGACTTTCATGGAAGAATATGAAAGATTGTTTTACTACCAAGAATGTGCTGCCAAATAATTTGAATCTAATATATGACTTTTTCTGTTGTGGAAAGACAGAATCTATGACAGAAAATTGTTTTTTTTATCAATGTTGCCACCATCAAATTCCATGTTATTGCTCTAGATTTGAAACTGTAAAGGCGCAAAGGAATCTCAATAATAGTATAAGCCAGGTAGTGGAATCATTTGATCTTTGAACACGGCTCTTATGCACACTATACATGTGTGATGTGTCTCAACTATTTCAAAATGCGGCGCCTAAGCATGAAATATGAGTCGAGTCGTTTCATCTTGATCAAGTCGTTTCATCTTGATCAGACAACACAACAAAATATAAAATATTGAGTCATCGTTCAATCTTGATCAGACAACACAACGTATGTCATATGAGTCATCTTGATCTTGATCTTAACCATCATTTTAATATTTAATTGATAAGTTGAGACAGGTGAGAGAGGGTAGTTGGGATGGTAGGTGTTGGAGGGTATGATGAGTAATTGCTGTTAAATCACTATCTACTGTTAAACAACAACCAATATAAAATAAGTTAAGAATTTTGGTTGATAATAATATCTTAAATTAAAGACCAATCTAACAATTACTACTATTACTAAAACTTTAGTCAAAATTATGTGCTTTTAGAACGTGGTTGTGACCTTGGTGAAGGACCAATTAGCCGTGATTTCTCCAAACAAATTGGGGACATGGTAGGGTCATAACGTAACATGTTGCTTGCAATACTTAGCTTTCCCACGTTTTTGGTTTTGGTTTTCTGTTTTATATTGTTTCAAATATTTATCTCACATTATTTATTATTAGTGTGTATTGCATCTGTATTTCATTTTTTCTCGAATAAAGAACATACTGTTCATGACTATAAATCTGAAGTTCTGAAACCCTTTAGGAAAATTACACCAATTTGAATATCAAATACTACTGTTCTCTTTGTTGAGTGTTAAATGCTGAATTGAAAATAAAATAGAATTGAATGCATTTCTTCATTCTGAGGAAGATAATTACAAATGTGATAGTTAGGTACTTAAGTACCTTAGCTATTACACTACACTGGAAATGGCCTAACAACCTAACTAACATTTGGGTACAAAATTTGGAGTACAAATATGTTAGGACCATTATGTAATTAGTTAAATTTATAATAGATTAATTAATAATAAGTATGTAATTAAAAATATAAAGATTATAAAAGATAATATTATCGTGTAGATATTATAAGTTAATATCTAATTTGATGAAGAGTTAAATTAGAATATTGAAAATTAAGAAATAACTTTAAAGTTATTTACAATGGTTATTTATAGACAACACAAAACGGTTTATCAGAATTTCTCTCTTCATCCCCGTTAGAGGAGATTCAAGTAGCCATAAGGAACTTTACAAATTGAAAGATCATATATCCGCAAACCTTCGGCGATTCTTGTAACACTCCAATTCTACCCGGCAATTATATAATTAAATCAGAATTATAAGTTGTTCTGGACTGGGCCCAGGTTGGCCCAAGAGCAAGAATAGGCCCAATCCAAACGGCTCTACAGGGGGTGCGTCGACCAAAACCTACGACCGTGCCCGCCACTGCCCGCGGACGCAAAGTCCTCGACCAGATACATTCCAGCTCGAGTCCAGCTCGAGCACCCTCCTCGTAGGTCATATTGTAACCGTTACACCCTCACCTGAACTCCGAAAAGACCGCGTCCTCGTCCGTCCGTACTTCTCGCAGAGCACCCAGGAAGGAGACCACGTGTGGGTCCCCACTACACACGTAGAACCTGGCAGTTCCTTTATTGGGCCAATCCTGGTCGGCCCAATGAAGGGACCTTGGCCCAACGCTGGGGGCTATAAATACCCTCTGTTCCAAGAGGGTCAGGTATTCAATCTCTTACCCGTACTCACATTTTTTGCCTGCTCGTACTCTCACTCACTTTAGCAACGGAGTGCCTTGCAGGTACCCCCCCATCTCGTCCAAACTTCAGCTCGGAGCCAGTCGTGACGGTCCAAGTCTGATCAGGTAAGATCAGTGGCGCCGTCTGTGGGAAACTAGCTTCCCTGTCTTGCAAAAACTCAAAGACCAAAGCTCAACTCAACTATCACCGTCATGGCTGACCAAGTCCGTGATGAACAAAATGTCCGCGCTGTCGACACCAACAACGGCCTCGCGGATAAAAATGGACACCTTGATAACGCCGGTAACCCCGATCACAACACCATCCCTGTGTCAACGACCCCAGGGCCTTCAATCCACCGCGGCAGAGCTACCACTTCATCTTCCTCGGTCCCTCCGCCACTCGAAGAAGACGATGCAGCTCTCGCAAACTATCGAGCTGCTCAGTTTCAGGAAGTCCCCGTCCCCGTCGGGGCAGATGCCACAACCCGAGCGCTGTTCGCGGCGATCAATCAGACGAATTACCTCATATTCGCCCAAGGGGAAAGATTGAGGGCACTTAAAGACGATCGAAGACCCCCGAGGAGGCACCGGAGGCCCCAGACTCCACCTCCTCGAGTGACTGAGGTTCATTTCCCGTCTCCCCCACGGAGACACTACAGAGATACCTCTCGAAGCCCGTCACCCCGACCATCGGGGAAACGACCCCCTTTGGAGAGGCAACCCATCATTGAAGCCTAAGGACGCGGCCGCGCCCCCGCAAGACAGGAAAGAAGACACTCCGGAGACGGGCATGGACGAATCAACCAACGAGCACCACGCTCGAGAGATGCACAGCACAACCAGGACCGTCGTGCCCGACAGTATTACATGTCCCCATCCCTGTCCCCGGAGTGAAGCGACGAGGACGAGCCCCGCGGTCCCCTGTCGCAAGCTATCATGGAGGCGCCCATTCCCCCGGGCATGGAGAAGCCTTCACATTTGAAGGAATACGATGGAGTCGCGGACCCGGTCGACCACATAGACGGGTTCGAGGCTATGCTGCACTATCACAACATCGGGGGGACCATCAAATGCCGGCTGTTCCCCATGACCCTCAGGAAGGAGGAAATGGACTGGTACAAAGGCCTCGCCCTGGGGTCAATCACCTCGTGGCGGAACCTGAAGAGCCAGTTCATCAGTTCATTCACAGCGTCTTGGCGACACCCAAAGACCGAGGCGGCTTTCGAGGCCATCATCGAGAGACAGGATGAAACCTTGAGAGAGTTCATCAATCGCTTCAACCGCGAAGCCATACAGGTCCCCTGCGTCGACCACATGAAGAGATATTTGCTGGAGAGGGGGCTCCTCCCCGGCACGGAATTCAGAAAGGCCGTGGGTATCGAGCCACCTAGAACATTCGATGCCCTCCTCAAGAAGGCCCGGGAGTACATGGATTATGAGGAGAGAGAGGCGGCCAACAGAGCCTGAGACCCCAGGACTCGCGGGTCCAACAGCAACCCGCGCCAGGAAGCTCCTCCTCCTCGACGGGCCGGGGAGAAAAGAAAAGAAGACAGACCCCGAGAGGTCCGAGAGCAAAGAGGACCCTCAAGGCGTTTTACCGAGTACACTCCGCTCACAGCTTCCCGCGAGCGTATTCTGGCGGAGTGTGCCAGCACGGACTTCAAGGACGGCGGCGTCAAACGCCCCCGACCCGCTCCCGCCAAGCCCGGAGCAGACAAGAACAAGTATTGTCAGTACCATATGAGCCATGATCATCTGACTGAAGATTACGTACACCTCAAGGACGCCATCGAAACCCTCATCAAGGGAGGAAGGCTCGCACAATACCGGCGAAACGACGCCCCTCGTCGTGACGCCCGGGAGACAAGAGAACCGGAGGAAGACGCCCGACCATCTGACGAGTCGGTCCCCGTCCAGACCGCCTTCTCCGTGACCAGACCCAAGGACTTCAGCATCCCCGAACACCTACAGGAGCCGCTCACAACACACAGCAGGTGGGAATATTTCCCCTCCGCCATGGTCATCAATGGCGGAGGGTTCAACGACCTGACTATCAATTTGGCTAAAAGGAAGCTGGATGAACTGGTCGACGCGGCACCCCCGCAGACAGTGACATTTGAGAGGGTAAAAGGTAGGTCGGAGCCCATCACGTTCTACCTCGAAGAGCTCCCCGGGGGAGCCCCCAACGCAGTCATTCCCCTGTTGATAAGGGCACGAATGGCTAACTTCGATGTGCACCACATCCTAGTCGACGAAGGGAGTTCCGTCGATGTAATGTACATCCAATTATTCCGAACCCTACAGCTGGATGACTCCCACCTCTCGCCATATGTAGGGTCGGACTTACAGGGCTTCAACGACTCGACCTCCAAGCCTTGGGGATACGTCGAGCTCCTGGTCACATTCGGCGAAGGCACAACGACAAGACAGGTCAAAGTACGCTTCCTCGTCATCGAATGCCCGTCCCTCTACAACTGCATCCTGGGGAGACCAACACTGGCAGAACTGACAGCGGTGCCCTCCACCGTCCACCTGAAGATGAAGTTCTACACCAAAAGGGCACGGGTAGCTACTATCCAAGGAGACCTAGCCGCTGCTCGGAGGTGTTTCAATGCTGCATCTAAGGGACGCGACACTGTCGACGTAGGAACAA